TTAGCAGAGGTTATATTCAGTAAAGCATCATAAGCTCATCATACACATAGCCCTTATGTCCTGAAGGTAATGGAAGGGTTTATGATAGACATGTCTTGTCAGCAAAGCAAAGGGAAAAAAAAAACCAGGTGAGAAAACTGTAGTCTAAATCATTAATTCTTCTTCAAGCTCAACTATGTTCAGGACCAAGAATATAGTTACTTTGTATTTTTCAGAAACAGAGTAAGCAATATGAAAAAGGATAATGAATAAAATCGTTGTAAGAAAATGATGCTGAAGAACAGAGAGGGAAGTATCCCACTCACAAAAGAAACTGTAATTGATAAAAACCTCGGAGAAGTAACACTGTTCCTGTGAGGGGAGAAAAAAAAATCRTAATACACAGGAAAGGAGCAAAATAGGGACTTCAGATACCACTTCACTCTTAAAAATGGTTGTATAAAATGCCAAAAAAATTACCAATCCAAAAATGGCCCAAATCAACTACTTWAAGTCTAATAAACGTGAATCTTGAGAAACTACAAAAGTTTGTTAACATTTCATTTGTWGTCACAAAACTGTAGTGATGAACTGTTGTAACAAGTGGGTGAGTTTAGCAGTATTAAAATCTCTCCCTTTGCTATTTTATGCTTTTGCAAATTACATTAAAAAACTCAAACCCCAAAATACCCACAAACAAAAACCCAACAGGTTTAGGGAAAAAAAGCTCCCATGAGTATGAACTCAAGGGATTCCCTAATATAAAAAATTAAACCACTAACATATTTCTTCTCAGGATAAAAAATACTGAGTAAAAAAACCTAAAACATTTGGTCCAGTTCTACAGCCATGATTTCGCATTATTTTTATATATTGAGTCCAGTAAATGGAGTTGGGTTTTTTCATCCTTGTAATCCAGCTGGGATGAAAAACTGAAAGACTGAAGGCACTGTCATGAGTCCATTTAAATATACCTATTTATTTAAATGTACATATTTCTGACTGATAAAATGTCCATGACAGCATCTAAAATATCWTTAGAAAAATAAAATACTTATTATTTTAGGACATGGACTCAGTAGGCTCTAATCTGCAACATTACTACCCTTGTTGAAAGGTAATTTGTTTTTATTAAAATTCATCCATCATTTAAAAATGCTTTGAAGTGTGTTTCAAAAACACAGTAAAAAGTCTGAATCTTCAACCACCTTCCAGTAAATACAAACAACTACTACGTTTGAACAAGCAAGAAGGTAACACAAGACACTAGCAGAAACACTCAAATAGGTAAAAAGAAACTTTCCAGTAAGTCAATCACTGCACTACCCAAGTTACGACGCTAACCTGAAACCCACACATGGGTCACTAATGGGAAGTAAATACATTTGCTCTGACTTAACATGTCACTGGCATRCTGGGTTTTCAATAGGAATTTTATGAATGAGAAGCCTAAGCCAGGTTGAGATGGAAGACGAAGCTGTCACCTTGTTTTTGTTTTCACAAGCTAACACCCATACCTTCATGGCACAGGTCTGTAACTCCATGAACTTTTTTTGCTGGTTTCTAATGTGCCCAGTGCACTGCAATTCTCATCAGAATCAATAGAGTATTCTGGCACCCAGCAGCTGGAAGTTAAAGCACACATGATGGTAAAAAGCTTCTCATAATACCTGGCTTTTAAACATTATCTATACTCTTCAAYCTGAAATTTTACAGCCAGTTTGAGCTATTTCTTTTCTCCTCTCAGTCATTAAACAAATTTAGAGCAATAAAATTGTGTAAAAGATGTCTTTAATGTTCTCGGAGAGAAACATTCTGCTGCAGTGCTTTGGCTACAAACACTGCAGAGAAACGGTAAATAAAAAGCTAATTTCAACTGGAATTAGTGAAAACATGGGAGATAGTCCTTTATATGGAGTATCTCATAAAGCCACATTTGAGATCAAATAGAGTTTGAAAGAAATCAACAAAAGGAATGTGATTGTTTATTACACCGTCCCACAGGATCTTGTCATAAAACGAACAGTCATCAGGAGCAACTCTCTTCTGACCACTGCATCAGCCCACAGCGACAGGGGAGGGAAGAGGGGGGCAGGAAACGGACAGGGATTCTGTCACAGAAGACAATCAAGGTTGTTTGCAGGAATATGAAAGGGTTTCTCTTCGATAAATAAGCGACTGTTTCACAAAAGCGGTGACAGGAACCGAGGAGGGAGCCAGGCTGACACGGAGCTGCCGCCTGCGTTCGCTTGACCCCCGGCAGGAGGGCCGGAGCCGCCTGCCCCGGGACGGCTCAGCCTTTCCCCGCACCCGGGCGGCGAGGGAGCGGGGTTTGGGTGGAAAACCCCGAAACAAACAGACACACCCCCGGCACACCCACTCACCCAAACACAGCGCACCCCCACGCCTCACGGCCTCAGCGGGCTGCAGCGACCCGGGGGCGACCCCCGCGCTCCCCGCCGGGCTGCGTGAGGCGCCGCTCCGCCACGGCCCGGGGGACGCGGCCCCCGACTTGTCACGGCCGGTGCAGCCCCCGCGGGCGGAGAGGCGGCAGCAGGTCGTGCACCCCCACCCAGCCAGGGACGGCGGTGACCCGCGGCCCTACCCCCGGTGCGGAGCCCGCCGGCGTCTCCGCAGCCCCGCAGCCCTCTGCCCCGGCTGGCCGGGGCTCCGCCGAGAATGACGGCGGCGCCGCGCACCCCATCCGCCGCCGGCAGCCCCGCAGGAAAAGGCGAGGCGTCCAAGCGCCCGGCAGCGCGGCGCCAGGCCGGGGAGCGACGACACGAACTCTCCCCGTGCTCACTCACCGGCATCATCTCCGCAGCCTTCCTCACGCCGGGCCCGCCGAGCCGTGCCGGGCCTCTCCTGCCGCCGCCGCCGCCGCCGCCTCTCACCGCGGAGGACGCCGCGCTCGCCCTGGCGGCTGTGACAGGTGCCTCCCGCGCGCCTCGCTCCGCGCAGCGGGCGGAAGGAAGAGGCGAAGGCGGCGACGGCGGCCGGGCTCCCAACCCCCTTCCTCCTCCTCCTCCGGAGCGCGGCCGCCTCTCCCTCCTCCCTCCCCGGGCGCTTCCTGCTCTGCTCCGCTCCGCCCGCGCCGCCCCGCCACGGGTTAACCTCCGCCGCCACCTCCTTGCCGGGGCGGAGCCGCGCGGGGAGGCGCTCCGGGGCCGCACGTGACCGCGGGGCCGGGCCGGGAATGCGGGATTGGGACCCGCTCCCGCCTCCCGTCCCCGCCGGGACCCTCTCGCTCCCCCAGCGCCGTGCTGAGCGTGACGCTCGCCCCGCCGGTTCTTCCCGGCCCGGCCTTCTCCTCCTCCCGGCGCTGTACCGCCCTGCCCCCGGGCCGGGCCCCGGCGGGCGCCACCTCCTCTGGGCGGGCTGCCCGGGGCCGATTGCCCCCGGGCCCGGGCGGTGGAGGAAGGGGCAGCTGCTGCTGGTGCTCTCTACCCCCGGAATGCGGGGAATGCGGAGCGGCTCCGCCCGACCCGGCCCCGCCGCTGTAACTGCCCTAGCGACCCGCTGGGCGTGCGGGGGGAGGGCTGGGCGGTGACACGGGGCTCGGTGGTCTCCCGTGCTTGTGACCTAGGTCGCTTCCCAACAGCTTGTCCTGGTCTAACACACCTTGGGTAGCTCATGTCTAGCGTCACCTTCCTTCCACCGTCCCTCCTTATGAAATGTGCCTGATGTACAAACTCTGCTTAGCAGCAGGAGGGGAAGGTATTTTTGTCCTGATGTCAGACTCATGAGATCTGGTCTCGTGTTTGAAAGTGAGGTTCAGTTTCCTTCATTTTCTGGTCTCTCATTCTGTACAGCTACAACTGCAAGATGAAAGTTAACAGCTTGGAAGAAGCCAAGCTCAACTAGAAATCAAAACATCACCATATGTTAGTACTGCAACGCATGCAATGTAGACAAATTTCATATTGCTGTGATTCTTAAATCCTAATCTACAGCATATATGGACCTACCCAGAGCTCCAACTGTTTCTGAAAATGGCTGGTTTCCAGTCTTTGTTACTTTATGTGCAGAACACCGTGACAGATTTCAGCTAGGAGTGGAAAAAAAATGTTAACTTGGCAAGTTTTGGAGGAGCTTAGATAATGTTTGTGTAAATCTTCGAGAGTAAGTGATAATAGCATAATAATCTCAATGTGTGAGTCTGTATAGCAAGAATAACCTATTCATGTGAGATTCTGTAATAGATAATTGTGTAAATTATCTTAATATATACATGCATAAGATTTCACTGTGTATCCTTCTCAGTAGATTTGCAGGCGCTGGTATCAGATGTGTGACAGGTCAAAACCTCTGCCTCTTTTCTTGGAAAGGTCCAACAAGGAAAATCTATTAGCATCACAAGATAGYACTTTGCCAGTTTAACGTTATTTTGCAAATACTAATTGGAATGCTCCTTGCTGGCAATCACACTAATATTCCTCAGGTTGYTGTAGACTGTGATTCCACCTCCCACATGCAGATTTGGAAATAGATTAGACTATGGTATTTCAAACCCCATAGAGAACTCCAAGGTCTACTCAGAGGAGTTTTAACCCTGCAACTAGGCTGACCTGAATGAAACAGGCTCTAAAATGTTCAGAGTTATCTATCTTTAAAAAATGGAGGAGTGATTTATCTTCATCAAATTCATAGGGAACTTTAGTCAATAAAATAATAGCAGTGAGTAGAAATTTACTCATCCTCTTACTACTTGTAGTAATTCTAATATTGACAAACTGGAAACTCTAAAATTGTAATTTTAACAAGGGAATTGTACACTTTTTGTCACACTTGTTTAAGAATTAGTAGTTCTCATTAAACAGGTTAATTTTAATTGCCAGCAATTCTTATACAATGGTCTGTATTTTTTTTTTCAGGTGTACTTGATAGCTGACTTTTCCCTGTATTCACTGAATAATAATAAAAATTAAAATACTATAAATATAACCCCACCATAACTTTTCCACTGCAACAGCAGGAATGTCTACAAAATGAAAAGTGGGAGAATAYGATGTAGACAATTAGCGAGGAGGCAGACACTCCTCCATGCAACTCCTCTGTTGGAACAATGGCCTGTAGTATAAAAGTTTGTCGACTCTGTGTTGCTTTTGGCAGATGAAGGTTGAGCCAGTGCAGCAACCAGACAGACTGGATACTGAGGGCTAGAAGGAAATGTCTTCAACAGGTAGAGTATGTACTTTATATGCAACTCTGCTCCTATTTTTATTTCTGCTTCCCTTGAAAACATCACTTGCCTCATCCCTTCCCATCTCAATTTTTCTACAGAAATGAGGAAAGAAAAAACAAATTAACCAATATTTACCAAGTATAATACTTAAAATTCTACCTGCAGCATGGGAAATTATTTAACACTTCTCCCACTCCTCCCAAAGAAAAATCTTTTTGGGAACCACTCTTTTAGCAGTCAAGAGACAAAGCAGCCTTTATAAATTTTTCTGATTGCAACTTATAACCAGAATCTGTTTAATGTGAGAAGAAAAATGGTCACTTATAATAATGTAGATTTYTTTTCCCCTCCATTGTCCATGCATTTCCGTACCAAATGGCTGGTCCAGTTTTGTAGAAATTATGGTGCTTGGCCCAAGGGGCCAGTGATATCTACAAGTCAGTTGCCTTTCTTGGGTAACTGAGGTTGCACAAAAGCAGCCAGGATTTGGGGAATGCCTAAAAAGATAAGGGAAGAGAATTTGGTTATGGAAGCAGATAAGGCAAGAGGTACTAAACCCAAATTATTTGCTTCCAAMTCCTCTTCCTTTGTGAAAGGTGTTCTAATTTTGTTGACCTCTTTCTAAAGGAAAGGGTTTKTGATTATTTGTTGGTGTAAGAATTAAAACATGCTATACCAATATCTTTTATTCTCCTCTTGGTTCTTACAAAAACCCAGCAATTCTCTTTACCTTTACAAATTGAAACTACTATAGCTTAACAGGCATTTTTTCAACTTAAAATATATAAAAAACCCGAAGAATTCGTGCTTATTTGTTATGGTATGGTGAATTTTTGAGATGTGCAGAAGTTGTATTTACCTAGAAATTGAAAATTGAWTGAAATGCTAAACATTTAATGTTTTGTCAAAACACTTGGAATTTATGGGTACGTAGAGAAAAATKACCAAAACATGGTGTGTATTCAACCTATATTTATTGGGAAAAGGGGGTTTTAACTGCTGTTAATAAATTGCCAAGCTTCTTATTTGAGTGTTATTATTCTTAGGAYAAGCAGAGATTCCCAAAGGTACAGGTGGGAGACTAATGAAATTTTCAGGAGCACACCTGCCAACATGCCAAATCTTACTTTTTTTTTTTTTTTCTAAGTATCTTCTAGTGAGATTTTCAAATGTAGATGTTTTTAAAGTTTTAAAAACTAACATGTCTGGATCTCTCCCACTTCTTTTCTATGCATAGACAAAAGAAGGGAAATGAGCTTTCCTACTTTCTGAGATTCAAGTGTTCTCCAGTTTTGCATTCACCTGTAAAGATCTTTTTCCAGAGCATAGGAAAATGTTTTCATGCTTTGGAGGTGTCACAGGAAAATAACTTTGAATTAATGTTAACACTTTCTTCTTCTTATGTGGTATTATTTTAAATAACAGATACTGCTATTTATAGCCAGCAACAGTGACAGAGGTCAAACATTTAGCGTGGGATCCATCTTATCCAACTTTACTAATGCAGAAGTTAGGTGTGTCATTTCAACCAGTCATGGAGGCTGCTTCTACAGATAAATAGGGAYGGGGAGAGGAGAGAGGCTGTTCTGCAGGTAATTCATTCATGTTGAGATACTCATCCCGCTATCTAAATCTCCTGGTCTTTGAAGGTACCTATCTCTGTATTGATTTAAGATGGAGCCTGGATGACTAGCTCTGATTAGGGAGCAGACTTTTGGATGGCTACAGTTCAGAGGGGTTCTCTCACAACCAGCAGAATAAAATCTCTAAAAGTAAGTATGGGTAGGAGCACTGAGGTTTTTTGCGTGTCTGCATAAAGAGAAAATGATGTCTCTCTGCTAAATGAATGAGTGGATTACTTTATTAGAGAACACAACTCTGCTTTCAAGAATTGTATTTTGCATTTGCTGTAATGCAGGAGGAACTGGTCCTAAGTAGGTAAGCAATTTAAGAAGCTGAATGACAGAAGTACTTCCAACTTGCTAGGCAGTTAACCTGGTGGCTACAGTGCAGTGCTGTGTGACAAATGATACAAACAARAAGACTGAATGTTGCAAGGGCAGTTTCATAGAGGGAACCTAAAATCTATAGTGAAATACAGTGTAAAGTAAGAGTGTATAAAGGAAAGGTATATTTGTTTCAGTGGCCTTAAGTAGCCTTTCATTTCAGCAGCAATAGAGTTCATATTGAACAAYAGTCATATGCTGCCATGCTTGAATTCACATACAGCCAATGCATTTCAAACCCCACCAAACCTGTTCAGAGATAAATAAACTACAAATAATAACCTAAAGGAAACACTTTGATGTCTGTTTGGTATACAGTATTTAGGACACGTGAACAGGAGAAAGATACTTTTTCATCACTACCTTGTAATATTCTAAAGTAATATATGCTGGACTAGGTGACTCATGATCTGAAGTTTCCATAGCCCAGCACTTGGTGCATCATTCTGAGAAGTGTAACAACTAAAGCAGTAGTGAAGCATTATGTGTGTGTAGTATAGCTGTGTGCACTTCCTGGGATTTGGGTGTCTGGTATGTCATGTGTTCCAGCCCTGCATTTGGTGGATTAGAGGTCATTTCTTTAAACAATAACAGAAATTGTATACTTAATCCAATACACATGATGCAAAAGCACATACTTAGTGGAAAATGCTGTGGTCTCATTGGGACCATGTTGCTATCCACTCTCATAAAACTATTACATTAAAAGGTATTGTTCTGTATTATTTTATATTGCTACAGAAGACACTGTCCTATAAGACAGATGACATACCATCATCTTTATGGATGGAAAATCTTGTTCTGCTCTCCCATAATTTATAACAATGAAGCCATTAACTATATGCAAAGAGGTGAAGAAAACAAAAACTTTCATGTCCTGGGAGAGGTTCTCTCTGCTTGTACTTTTAGGCTTTATAGCCAGTCAAGATGTTTCTTTATAAAAATCTTTGACTTAAAACTTTCCATATGCCCATGAGGAGTGCAACTATCTGAGATGACCCAGATGATGAATTATTAGTTGAAACATCAATTAGGAAGGGGACAGTCAATCCTTCACCCTTTATTCCTCTTTTATTTATGTGCTACTGTGTTTTGGGTGTATCACTTGGTTAATGTGAGAGGAAAAGGATGGGTCATGTTTTAAGATTGAGTCCAGCTATTTAATTTCTTACTGTAAGACTTAAATTGTTCTCATGTATCTCATCCATGACTTAGTGAGTTAAGTAGTTAAGTGATTTCAAATACTTTCTCTTTCAGCTAAAAGCCTAATGCAGAATTCTGTGATATATAATTAGTTTTTCCCTCATGTTGTAAAAATGGTGGGTGGTTAGTCTTCAACTGTTCTGTTAATCACATCATTCCCTTGTTTTAAATGGTCAACAGCTTATTTAATACAATTGAAAACCATTTCTTATGTTTACTGCTATATCAGATGCAGGTTTGTTTTCATATTAGATTTTTATTACTGTAATATTCRAACCCAGTAATTTCTAATTTGAAATGTGTATCTCTACTAGAATTTGTCCTTCTTTTAGTTTCCTTTCGTGAAGTAAATAGATCTAGAAAGAACAACATGATGGGGATATCACRTAATGAAGCTCATGCTTTCTGCTGTTGTACCTGGTAATGGGTGAACTTGAAGGATTGCACTTGGAAGGGGAGACAGGGAAAGGCCWCTGCTCAGTTCTGAAGTCTGGGGTATACTGAAAGGTATTTTYTAGCAATTACTGACAATATGATGTGCAAAGGAGGCTTAGAGAGGAAAACATGCCTCTAAGCAGAAGAATGCTCACATAAAATAGGAGAGAAAAATTAAACCAAATTAAATGTGTATTAAAAAAAACCCTAATCCATTTATACTTAGTATTTAAAYGACTACATTACTAAGACTACACATTCTTTGCCTTTTTTTGTGTTTGTATTCATCACAGATTTTACAGATTGGAATACACAAGGTAAGTTTCCTCCGAAAATACAGTAGAGGGTATTGAATCTGTTTAAATAAAWCACCACCACAGATGTGAAACAGGATGTGGTTCTGATTTTAGATACAACTCTCTGGAAAACATTTCTGCACTCTCTCTCTTTCATATATATCCATATATCTAGATAGATTTATATATATATATAGCTAYAGATATGGGGACATATATAAACACCACATTAAATTATAATTTTCTGAACTTTTGGATTATCACAAATTGTCAGAGTATGGCTCTCTTCTATACAGGTATATAAAATTTATTGTGGATCCCAGTTTTTTTGGTCACAAGCACTATTTTAATAGTGCATTTTGACAGAAGAGCATCTGCACTCAACAGGTAATCTGGCCAGTAGATTTAATCTAACATCTGCAATGAGGTTTCTCGCATATTATAAAAATAATRGGTTTGTGCCTTATTGATATGTAAGGTTCATCCCTTCTGTTTCTGTAAATATTCCTTTTCTACATAAAGCAATAATGTTCTAGTCCAGGGAACATTAATGAAATAAGTTGATTCTGTCTCCAATTGCCTTGTTTTTATTTTTCCAGAAATACATTTCTGAATAATTTTTGTTTTTATTACTGTGATTCTACAACAAGGTTTACTACAGTTCTTAGCAGCATAAACAGAAGAATGTCAACAGTAGAGGCAGATGAATTGTGTAGGGCATTGATGGAACTTTATTGAAAATGATTCAGTGAAAAGCTCTAGAAATAGTGACAGTAGAAAATGTATCACTGGTATATGTTTAGAATCTATTTAAGGTTGACTTATTCAAAGAAGATACCATAATATGCAGCTGAACCTGAGAATATTTAAAGGCTGGAAAGGAGTGTGTTCATCCCGGAGGAGTACACCCAATAATAACCTACTTGCTGGGGGATGATTAGATGCGACTTTAAAGGTTTGTCTACTGCTTATGTCTCAAATTCGAAACCAGTATTTCTATTCTGTAAATGGACAATCTACCACACAAGGTACTGGAATATTTTTTCTATTTCTTCCATTTCCTATGGGAAACATTCTTTCTTGCCTCTTGTCTCTGTCCTTCTAGAAAAGGCCTGACTACATGTTTAACTTGCCAGCCTTAATTTAAAGAGAGGTGTGCTAGTTAGCATTAACAAGAATGCATAATTTGAAAGCAAAGTAAAAATATTTTTTCCAAGACTCCTTTTCTAGTTGCATTATTCCAAAAGAATTAATTCATTAAAGTATGCTCAATGGTATTATGTCTCGTTGTTTACTTAACTAAGAGTCAGGTCCTCTGTTAAAACTGGTATGACTCAAATTCATAGCTTATGAATTATGAAAGAAATGCAGATTCTAAATTTTAGCTAATTATTTTAAAGAAGTGTCTAGAGATCCTGAGTCCAGAATTTTCTCTTCAAGCTGTATGTGGTATGTAGACTACAACATCAGGAATATTAGGAAAGAATTGTAATATCAGGTATAAGAGAATTTAAACAAGTCTATTTCTCAGTACAACTGTACTAAATTAAAAGGTATACCKGAAGCATCAAGAGTAAAGAGTCAATAAGAGTGCTGAAAAAAGCGTAGTTTGAGACATACATATATTTGTATCTTGAAAAAATAAACAATAGAGTTAATTATAAAAGTGGAAATGCTTTTGGTTAGATCTCCCCCAAAATGGTATCCCTCCCTCTATTCTTGGTCCTCTAATGCCTGTCCACATTCTAGTCCACTTTACTAATCCCTCCTTTTTCCTCCMATTATACTCTGCTTCTGTTCAGTTTAGTTGTTGCCATTTTGCTTGTTTACATAGCATTCCATATGGAATAACTCACAACATTTTCTACTTCATACCTACAGAATTCCCCTTTAATTGCAGCAATTCTTAATATTATCAAAAGCATGCTAAACACAACAGGTTAAAACAAGAAATGAAGGCTACAACTAATACTGCAGGAAAAATCTGTGTGGGCAGCAGTCACCACAGATGGGATTCATTCAGTATACAGCTCTCAGTTCAACCACCCACATAACCCCCATTATAAATTCCTAGCGAATACACTTCATTAGCTCTGAAGAAATCTCTACTGTCTCTCCCAGCAGATCACTGAAGGTACTGTCATGATATGGATATAAAAGTTAAAGGTCATATMAATTAAAAACTGTTCCTTTATGATCCTTTAGAAGGTCAAAATAATTAAGCATGTTTTCATTAGATGACAACCAATAAAATAATTTGATGAACCACTACCAATTTTATCCTTTATAAGTATTCTTCCTGCTAGTATTGAGCATTAGGATATCATCATCTAATGGTTCTCCCTGTTCCTTACTTGTTCATTTGTCCCAATTAATGAAGTCATAGAATAAACTGGAGAAAGCAATGTGCTGTCCCAGGGGAAGGAAGCACAGCTCTGCCTTTGCTGGAGCACAAGCTGACACTCCTGATTTSTATACAGGGTGGAGTTCTGCGTTCTTTTTATTGCTCCGACTGTTGACGCTGATGACAGYTCTTACAGGAGAGACAGTGCTTTGATCCTGTGCGTGGCTGCGTATGAGGAGCACTCTTGCACTGCCTTATGACGAGAGACACAATGACTTAGGGAACTTGGCTCAGTGAATGGGAAGACAAAAATTCTGATTCTTCTGCCCCTTTTCTGCAAAGCACCCTTCCCCAACTGTTGTGCTATAAACTAGTTATTAAGTAGCTTTGCTGTAAACAGAATCAGATGGGTCTAAATTAAAATGGAAAAAACACCAAGCGCTTCTTTTGTTATCCTAGAGGAGGAAAAATCCATAAAATTATGAAAAAATGCTTGATCTGATTCATAAATAGTTGTATCAGCACAACTGTGAGGAACAAGGCACTGAGGTGTAAGGGTGCAAACTCCACAAGCTGGTCTAGCTGCTAAAGTACTCATACTGTTAAACCACAACCAAAGACATCATAGTACCCTGAGCAGAAATTAATTAAAACATCCAAATCATCCATTCTTGTGGTGGTCAGTTCATTTTGAGTTAGGAGACAGTAATTGTTTCCACGTATTTTGCCTGCAGCAGTGGAGTAGACTACACAAGACTCTTTTATTTATGAGCTTTTAATAAATTACCAAATCAGCCATGTGGCTTTATGTTCTTAAAAATATTAGCTGCTAAAGGTCATGGAATTATAATTTGAAGTTTGATGTTCAAGCACTATCTTGTCACTTCTTGTTCCTCTACCTAATGAATTGTTAACTAACATATTTAATGCCTCGGGGAATCTCCATCTTACTATTCTTTCCTTYCTAGTAACTTTACAGATTTCCGTGAATGAAACAATAGAGGTTTCACACACTGATTTCCTCCGTTTGGTTTCAGCCAGCTGGTGCTGATGTCACACACAATCACCTGTGTCTAACAAGCACCTGATGCTGTTCCTTCCTTAGGGACTTAAAGTACAATACACATGTACCTACCAGCTCTGCATTGGCATTTCTACTACAAACAGGGGATTGCTGTCATGATTCAGATAAACAGGAGACTAGTTCAGCTGTTTTTGTTACTTTGGATCACTTCCTGCAGCTTTACTCATCCTCYCAATTAACATAAATACACATTTGGKTTTTTTCCAAGTTAGCCATTAAGGAGGTTAAGTAGGTTGGGCCTTGTGACTAATGTTTCCTTGGCTCTGACTGTATTTTCCTGCTCCCCTAGAGTATTCTATCATACTTTATTAACATGCAAGAGAAACTCTGAGATTCCTAATTGTACAACAGCACTTGAAATGTTCTAGAAATCCCCAAGCTCCAAAATGAGAAATCCCAGCCATAAGCATGGAGGGGCAAATACAGAAGTACTTGTAATGTAAAAAAACACCTTGCATTAGCATTGTCATTATTAATACTATTTCCTAATGCTGAGTTTTCATGTTTTGTATTGATTAAAAAAAAATCACCAATGCTACAACAAAACTTAGGATACTGCTGATGTAATTGGGTTAAGCTCTTCAACCCCTACAGATCTTTGTTGTTCCACCAACAGGGTAAAGATAATAAGCAGTCAGGTTTTGTCATTGCTGATGCCTTATCACTRGCAATAAATTAAAAATGCAGTTGCTTAACTATTTTACTACATAAAATTTAAATGTAATGCATGTAATGCTGCTTTAGAAATGTCAGCAATATAAAGAGGCAGCAGCTAAAGGTGATCCATCAATGTGCARTAAGAATATCCCTCATCAGTGTTTAGTTGTGAATCATGGTGAATATTACCTCAATGGATTAAAGTCCTCATCTTACATAGTCATTTGCATAGAAAATGAGTTTGTTCAGGAGCTGAGTATTGTGTGTATAAACACTTACCTGGAACAAGAAAATCTTTTAAAGTTAGCTTTAGAAATCACCTTAGCTAAAATACTAAAAAAGAAAAAAGACACATTCTAAAATAAGAGRATTCACTTCAAGGGTGGGTACTCCTTGCAATGTTTCTCTACTGAGGACTATGCCTCAGGTCCTAGTGCTGCAATGRCATTGATTACTCTTTCCATACCTCACAGTAAATATGACTCTTACAATGCCTTAGTTTGCTTCCCTCTATTGTGTTTTACATTACTTCAGCATAGAGGAGCAGGAAGTATAGAGACAGTACTGCAGGTGTTACACGTTATTGGTGTGTTGATTTCTGCTTTCGAGTCAAGCCATTGACTGAATTTCCTCCTGTAGGCTACTCAAGTAAAAAACCAAAACATCTATTTCAATATAAACACCAGTCCTACTTCCCCTATCTTTTGCAGGTATTTGTGTTAAGGATCACAAAGGAGGAGATATTCTATAGCCTTCACAGAAATTCCTGACAGAGAAGCACCAATGGAAGAACCAGTTGCATATGGCAGTTTCAGCAGAAACTATCATTTTTATAACCCAGACACTGCTGCCCGTGTGTACTTTCTTTCCCTACTAGTAAACCAAGCAAATCAGATAGAAAGTGTTAAGACTTGAAGTAGGTTAAGTTTACCTAGAGGTGCAGTTAAGTGTGCTCCAAGGCAGGTTAGCAGAAGCTCTTCTTGCCTTCCAACCCAGGAGATCAGAACAGCACGCTGGTGTTACCTCAGTGCCAATGGTGTAGCTGAGGTGAAGCAAATCCTGCAGTGATTAATGCTTTCCCCCTGGTTTGTTTGTCTGAGCTCTGTAATTGAAAATTGCTAAAGCAGGTCATTTGAAGAATGTGTGGTATCTTAGGAACTATAACTTAGTGATCATAAATTTGCATTACAAATGCTCTTATAGTTTCTTACTTGACATAAATTTTCAATCTCAACTGCTTATTAAGTATACCACAATTCACCCACCCTATAATTACCACTGGCCTAATATCTGTTCATTTAAGTTCCATTTTCTTCTAGTTTTTATTCTCTATTCCCTTCTTTTGGGATGCTTTTGATTTTATGTTAAAAAAATCAAGTAGTGAGTTCTTCCTATTTCTCATTCATCCTTTTCTAGTGAGGAAATACAGAAAAACCTGTATAGTAATGACTAAAGAATCAGCTAAAATCTGTCAAGRAAAGGTACAATTAAGAAAACTGTGAAAGGAGGAACAAATGTGAAAAATACATGGAAGACAGATGTCAACTTTTCAAATTCAGTGATRCTACACCTGCCTTCTTTAAAAAAGCTTTCAGGGAAATAAGACTGGTAATTTTACTCTACTTGGTACGTACACCTATTAAGCATAAGSATAAATTCTGAAGAAATTAAAAGCAAGTGTTTGGAATGTTTACCATCAGCAGRTAAGGTTCCTGAGTGTTCAGATACTAAAGATTTAGGCTATAGCCTGATACTGCAGTCAGGAGATTGAAAAGCAAAACTTTAATCAAGCTGAAAGATTTAAGATGTTTCAGTGAAGTAGTTAAAAAGATGYACGTAAGCATTAAGTCATTAAAATTACTTAAGCCTCTTAATCTTCTCAAAGGCAGATTAGGCTAAATTTAAACAAAACATGACATGAAGTCTCGTTTTGGTTTTACACTCTGTGCATCCTTGGTACAGATTTCAGTATGTAAAGTTCTGAACACTGATTTTCATAAGATAGCATATGTTCCTACAGTCTTCAAAATACATTTGCTATTGAGTTCTTTCTAACAGCTATCTGCAAAAAMCACTAATGAACCATCCTACTAATATATATATTTTCAGAAAAAAGGAAAACCCTTTGAAATCAGTTAAGTGTTTTATGCTCATACCAACAGCTCGTACCAATCAGTACGTGATTTTATTGTTCCCTTCAAATTCTGAGATCTCATAAGCTTCAAAATGGCAAAAGAAAGTCCATGTAATATCAATTTTTTTATACAATTCCGGCATGTTATTACTTATTCCTCTGCAAAATTTGCAACTAAAGGAAAAGCCTTTGAGAATAATTCCTTAGCTCTACTGAATATGAAGGGCAAAAAAGTAATACTTGTTAGTAATGCATTTTAAAAAAATCTATAAACCTTTTGCACGGTATTTTCATAACAATGTAACTTTTGCTTTTAAACCTTGCAGAACTCATTAAAAATATAATGTTTAAAAAATAATTTTTTGTACCCTTGATTATTTCATCACAAGTTGACAAAAACATGGGAATATACTTCAGTCCTTATACTTGGCATCCTATTAAATGACATTTTGAAAGTAAACAGCCAAAAGAGCTATTATTAGGGGGGAAAAAGGGAATCTAATTCTATTAATAAGTTTAGTTATAAAGGTTTAGTCTCTTTTAAAGTATTGTTGAAAAAGTTTAATATGATACTTGGATGAACTGTAGAAAACCAAAAAATGCTTATTCTAAAAATTATTTTAACACTGCACTCCAGCATATATTACAACATCTTTAATTACTTTTTGCTGAATGGTTTTATTCTTTCTCCATTTACAGCAGATGGATCAGTTACAGTTCTAGYATTAATTTCCCTATGGTTGTAGCTTGCTTCATTTGCAGTAGAGCTGATGGACCACCAAATACATTTCCAAGAAGAGAAGAGATCTTTAATGATGGCCAGAACCAGAGGACTCTGAAACAAAGACACGATTTAGACTGTTCAAACATAAAGCAAATCAATTCAGGAATGTAGTTCAARTCCTAGAACTGACAACTGTACCTGAATCTGAGCACAAGAACTGGAACTTCAAATRAAACAATATGCTCACACTGTGTACTAAATAAACTTGGTGAATATTAAAAATCCTCTTTTGTAAGTTTTAAAGCACTGTTACAGGMAAATACCCATTCTTCCTTGGTTTTGCTATGGTTTTTCCATAACTGAAAATTACACTATTATCCTAAGTCTACCAGGTAGTATTTTCTCTAATTACGTATTYAAAAATGTAAATAATGTTTGCATGTACAAATTCAACTGGGAGCAAATAGGTTCTCTCTCACAGTGCAGAAAGCTGACATRCAGCAGTTCACAAAAAAATTTATTCTAGTGTGATGCCAGAACAAACTGTCCATAAATATCTAAACACTGCTTTAAAAAGATACAAAAATACATAAACCACAAGTTTACATTTTCTAGTTTCTTGACAGCTAAAATAGCAGTTACTCTTGATGTCATGCTGATTTAAGTATTATTAATCATGCTAATTGTTACTATTATTTTTAAAAATTCCTTGCCCACACAGTCAAGGTGTAGAACTTCCATTCTACTCCTAAAACCTACACAAAAGACAATGTGCAGACAGATATTTCTAGGTTATAAAATCCTTACTACAATCAAAATTACTTATTTTGAAGAAGTAACCTTTAAACATTTGCTAAACGTGTAACTTGAGCCCCAAAATTATATAATGTAAAATATTCTGAGCTAATTTTTACTGCACTCATTTAAAAATTGTAACAGGATATTGGCTATCCAATACTTACTATTTGCTGCTCCTTTTTTGCCTGGGAAAAAAAAAGAAAAAAAAAGAGCTGAACAAKGATAGTTAAAAATATGTATTTCCTATTTGCTTATTGCAGATAAACTTTATTTAGCTTATTATTATTATTAGCTTGAACAAAATTTGTAAAGTGTAYAACATGTACTTTCTATGGTACATCTCTGTAAACTTTACCTTGATCTTTAAAAGTTATTTGGTTTTAATTTACCAAGAGTCCATTAATTTAGAAAGTGCAGTCATCAAGACTCCTACTACAATTCAAAAGAAACAGCTATGGAATGTTACTATTTTATTATTACAATAATTATTAATATAATTATTATAATTTATTCATACATTATWATAATATATGAATATATATACACACAATATATGGATGTTAATGGAAGTGAAATGTTTGCTTTAAAATGTTCCTTTGTATTTTACATTTGCATTGTAATTGTTCTAAAATACTGATTCACTGTGGTCACAYAAAAAAAAATTCTTCATGAGGAAGACAGTTGTGAGAGGTTGTACAATCTCCATCTTTGGAAATACTCACTTAAATTATGAATAASGTGATAAAAGACCTGATCTAACTTTGATCTAACTGCTTCAAGTACTGGTTTGGAGCAGGTGAGCTCAAGAGGTTCCCTCCAATCTGATTTATCCTACAACATACTCTTCTGTAACTCCATGTATGATTTGCAAAATTGCTCCCTAAAGTGCAGAAAGGGCTACACCAATGAAAAACTATTTTAACTTTATTTAAGTTAAAAATCCTTTTTCTTTGGCCCTCAAAACCCTACACCAGGACATCTATTTAAGTAATGAATTAAAGTAGCATGACATGAACACGAATTTGAAAGTCTGTCCATTCTGAACTCTCCTTGAAGCAAAACGTTAAAGCAAAAGCTACTCTTTTTTCTTCCTCTCTACCTCAACTACTCATATTTACTTAATAGTCATTAAGTACTCATTAAGCTCGACTACTTATATTTACTTAAGTTTGTAAGTGCAGTGTATCAGTTTTGGAATGATACACATTAATTGGACAAAGCTGGAGAAATGCTGAGGTAATGTCTCTCAGCTGTTCCCACAGCAAGGGGTTCCTTTCTCTGTGAACTTTGTCTATAACTTAAAACATATCATTGATCATGACAASCAGTAAAGGGTTTGACTTGGGATTTTTTGAACACAGACTAAATTGACGAACAGGATCTTAAGGACACCATAATCTATTGTACCCTTTTGCTTTAAGGAACCTGGACCATTCAAATTTATTATTTTTTCATTAGATTTTCTGTTTCTTTCTCTGAGAAAGTCATTCAGTGTCAYCAAGTAACAATTCTTATGTTCAGTGACGTAGCTGACATTCTRAGATGGCATCAGTCCATCACAAGTTCATGTAAGAAAACCTTTTAAAAACTATTTATTTGCAAAATCTTTAGCAAGTAAGTTAGGTCTGCTAACTGCTAACTGTTTTTAAAAAACAATTCCTACATTACCTAATCATCACAATGTAGGCACAGTTACACTGGTATTTAAGTATTTTTTTTAGTGGAACCTTCTATAATGAGCACTTAAAACTTAAAGTTTAAAAAAAACTTAAATCTGAATTTTTATAGCAAAGACCTGGCCCTAACTAAGAATGTTAATTTCTTATTTGCTGGGTATCTTCAATGACTCATTTCTGTTATGGGTATTCCCTTCTATAAACCTTATCTATAAGCCAACAGTTAATAAAGACTATAATGTGTAACTTACCCCCGTAAGAAATCTTGTAGTAGGCATAAGCTGTTAATGCTACACCAACCCATACTTCTTGATACACAGTAGAGAAGTAGAATTTCATGGGTCTCAATGACTTTGGAATCATGGCCTGCACCATCTGAAAATTATAAAAAGTTTTGTCATTCTAAGTTTTGCAGCTGTATTCTTTTATGTTGGAGTTATATGTACAGACACACACACGCATAATATATTCATCTATCCTTATGTATACACATACACACTCCTGATATGTATTAGCAGCAGCTCACATGTAAATAAAAAAAATATCCCCGAACATGCAAAAGTACTTATTCCAAAACAAAGAAATGAAAATTCAGAGCCCAGGTTACAATTTATGGGTTAACACAAAAAAAAATTTAAAAATTCCTGATGAAAGGGTTCAAAGATGAGTCAACAGAACATTTACAGAGTAGCAATAGACTTCTCTCTCCCTATCAGTGACAGCTTTTTCTTAATGTTTCCAGATTCCCTCAGGAGGAAGTCTCATTCCAGACAAGCCAGAGAGGCTCCTATCTTGCACTACCAATTTAGCTTCCCTCCCTCACAGCTGTCTCTTCCAGCATGGTAATTTCTGCTCAAAATAGCAAAATAAATGATGTTAAGCTAATGAATTCATACTTTATCATGACTATTTGACTTTCAAAATATGCCCCAAGAGCAAGAAGCCTGTCAGTGTTAGTGGGTTTTTTCCTTTCCATGCAGCTTTGTTAGGCAAAGAGAAAATTGTACAATGTTTTAAAATAAAGCTTATCCTAATTCCGATAAATCTTAGTTCACATTTGCACCACACTGGACTGAAATGCCCCATGTTTTATTGTCTTAYGCACTTCACCCCATAGGTACCATTTACATTAATTACAACCCAATAAAGTCAGCTATACACACATATAGACAGTGTATGATAAACCAGAGTCCCAGGAACGCTCACTCACTTATCTGCCATTACTAAATGTAAAGCATCGTTTGGTGAGATGCTTTTTTCAAAGAGAAAAGGATGGAAGAGCAGCCAGTGTCAAAATTGGAAAAATCTAAGTGCTTMTCAAAGAATGAAAACAGCTTTGAAAAAAATTCATGTATAATTGCAGACAAACCCACATTTATCATCGCTTATGGACAGTCATTTCAATAATTTACTACTGTGGCCAAAGTTCCTGAAAATCTTTGTGCTTTTATAAACACCAAGGACACTGCATTAAGGACGCTGCTCGTCTAAATTTCCAGTTATTTGTAGTTTCAGATGAACAGTGGAATARTAACAGCCACTTTGCTGCAGCACAATATCAAGACATACTAACAAACAAGGAGACTGAACAGAACAGKAAGGAAAGATTTCCCCACCGCTAAAAACACAGGGAATAAGCAGTGTTGTTTGRGCTTAACACCGTGCTAAAGCCCGGCAGAGATCTTTCCCCAAGGCCTGCGGGGGCGAGACGTCGTTCTGACTACTCTCTTTTCTGAAATCTATCCGGAACAATGCTCTGTATTTGCTGTCTCCTTGACATCCCCGCCACAACCCCCGCAGCCCAGGGCACCTCCGACCTGCCCGAGGCCCGACCCGCTGGACGAGGGTAGGCGGGTAACGGCAAAGTTACAGCGCTGTGSACCGCGTTCCCTTCTTCCCTTCCCTCGTTCCCATACTGAGCCAGCGCTGCCCCCACCCCAGCCAACCCCGAGCGGTGCCCAGCAGGACCCTGCCGGGGCTCGCCGGGCCCGGACCCACCGTGCCAGGGGAGCGGCGAAGGTCACACTCGGGGACGGGAACGGGGACGGGAACGGGAGCGGTGCTGCCGCGGGGTGCGCCGGGAAGGGACGCGGAGAGCGACACAGCAGCGCCCCCTATGGCCGCGGAGGACCAGAGCGCCCTCACACCGCGGTGGGGCCAGCCCCGCTTCCTTCAGAACCACGGAATGGGTGAGGCGGGAGCGGACCACAGCGRGACACCTGGGGGTACAGCCTCCCTGCTCCGGCAGGTTCATCCCATGTGGCACGGGATTGTATCCAGACAGCGCTTTGATATCTCTAGTGAGGGAGACTCCATACCTTATCTGCGCAATCTGAGGAGCAGGATCACCTCCCTCGACCTGCTGGCTCTTCTAATGCTGATGTTCACCTCCAAAGAACAAGCACAGCAGGTGTCCCGTGCCAGGACAATGCCGGGAAGGGCTGGTCGAGCCTATTTAGAATGTCCCTTGGGAAACAGTTGTCCTGGAGCAGCGGGAGGCACCCACTGGGCCAAAYTCAGGAGGTCTGAAGCACCTATGAGCTTTGCAGGACATTTCCTTCAGGAAGGACAGGGTGACTGGAATTCCAGAGCTTTGCTCAGGCATTGTTCAGTGAGTGTGAGGAGAGGAGTGACTGCCCAGGCCTCCCGTGCCTGTGAACGGAAAGCAGAGCTCAGACCCTTTTTGTGTRTGTTAAAATACTTCAGTGGGACCCAAGACTACATTTACTTTCCTMCTGAGTGATTTACATAATCTGARATGTACAGAATTGCTAGATATGAGCTTTGTCACACAGGGCAAGACTTCTTGGATCTTACATTGGCTTTTTTTTTCATTTAATAGAGGAACATAACTTTTGTCAATGAAATACTGCATGTACTTCACCTGCTTAATTTAGAACTTTCAAAACCTCTTGACATTTTTATGGGAAAAATACCCTTCTTTCTTTAATTTAGGATATYGAAGCTGACACATTAGGCAACCAGAGGCTGTGGTATCCTTATCTCTCTACATATACCCTAGATTTGTATTTACCTATCTGACAGTAACAGTTCTAAAGCATCTAAATATCTGCACTGGATCAGGTACTCACAGGGAAATGATAAATCCTATTAGAGAAAGTAAGGGGCTACTTTGTACTTCATTATTCAGCTGATTTAAGCTGAATTATTCAGCTGTATTTCATTATTTAGCTGATTTAACAAATTACACACAGATGTTTGCAGTTATTTCAGAAGAGGAGATGACAGGATGARAAGGAAGTTCAAGTGACACGTTTATTTCAGTTCCCATTCTTCTTTTGAAGAATTTATCCAGTAGGGATGACATGTTATAGCGTTTGTCTGTCCCATATACTTCCAGCCTGCGTCTGTATGCCCTGCCTTTCTAAGCAAGGCTTTAGAGAGTTTTAGGGGTCGGTTTAGAGCCATTCAGTGGGCAGCCACAGGTGGAYTGACCGGGAAAGGAGGGCAGATCCCAGGCGGGAGCGCTTCCCGCCGGGGGTGGAGTCGGGCGGAGGGTGGGAACGGACGCGTGTGCCGGGAAGGGCGGCGGCGCTGCACCGCGTGCCGGGAGTGCCATCCGTGGCCATCCGTGGCCATCCGTCGCCATGCTGCGGAAATTCACCGAGGAGCAGCGCCGACACTGGTTCACCATCGGCGGGGCCGCCACCGCCGTCGAGCTCCTGGGCGAGGAGGCGCGGGTCGGCCACCCTGGCGCTGCCCCCCGCCACCCCGGGCGGGAACCACTGACGWCTGCGGGGTGAGTGCGCTGAGTCTCTGCTCTTGATGGTCTCTGTCTCTCCTGTGCTCTGTGTCCGTGGTCCCGGGTGTGCTGGGCATTCCCCAGAATCAGCACAACCTCTTCTGGTTCCGCTGCTGTGCGTGGGCCCGGCACACGTGTTGGATTCCAGCCTAACACCCCCGGTAGCGTTTGTGGCTGATGTGCTTTTGTGCATTTAATACTTAATGTTATTTTCTGATTTGCCACTTTCTTCTGTTGTCTTCATCATCATTAGATGTGTGATGTGTTGTGTGTAGAGTTTGCTTTCTCTGAAGTTCACTAGCCCTGGTGCACAGGTGTAGTAAGTCCTGTTGAAGAACTGCTAGAACTATTAGAAAAAAAACCCAGTTTATTCTGAATCAGATGTATTAACTTAAACTTTCATCAGTGACAAGTGATAAATGAGATTCACGAGTTCATTGTTGTCGTGACCTAACTGAAGCGTTTGAGTAAATCYAGTCAGAGGAATATTGACACTTTTCTCCTTATGCATTATTCTCGGACCGCAAGAAGTTGCAGGACATGAGTAGTGTGTGTATTTGCATAGCAGCGAGGTACATTTGGTTTTCACTAGAGTTTGGATATTAAAATAAAARAAATGTTTTCCCCTGGATGCTGCCTGAACTGTGGCAGTGCATGCTAGTCTTGATATTTAGACTAGGTTTGSTAATGTGTCTGGGGTTGCCATAGGAATGTGTTTGTATGCACTTCCATGTAGTAAAGTGTTTTTCAGAATGAGCTGGATGTACACTCTAGAGTGAATGTTTTGCTGTTTTTTGTTTTTTTTGTTGTTGTTGTTTTTTGTTGTTGTTGTTTTTTTGTTTTTGGTTTTTTTGTGGTTTTTTTTTTGGTTTTTTTTTTTTTTTTTGTGTGTGATGCACAGTGGTAGAGCTTGCTGTATTTCAGGACCTCTTTTAAAAGGTATACATTGATATCTGAGAAAGAATGAACTTTTTGCATGACACCTTGGTATCAGATAGTCTGGTATTTCAGCAGAGACTGTTTAGGCTCTCAGTGTTTCTGTCTTTGCTTCTAGTGAAGGGCAAAACTGGCACCTCAAAGTATGTATGCCTAAATACAGATACCTATCATTGTAAAGGTGCTGCCATTACCAGGCTGTGAATCACTGAGAGCTACTGGGTTTTGTGCAAGAAGCTAAAATTTTCCAGAAGTGATCAGACAAAATTTTACAGTTCTTTAAAGGTATTTCTGTAAATGTAGTTCCTCCAGCCAGTATGTACAAGATGTTTGTGACTTCTCAGTTCTTACTTAGGTGACAGTAACATTTCTGTGGTACTTAGGAAGTACTTGACAGGAGATTCTTGAACCCAACTGACCACTAAACCACAAAAATATGTTTTGTACATTGGCTCTACCCAGGAGAAATGAGCAAGGTTAATCAAGCCTTGTGTGCCTAGGCAGAGGTAAATCTTTATTTTTGGTTTTGGACAGATACCTCTTTCCACTCAAAAGTTCCAGCAGATAACCTAAGTGTGAGTCTGGCAGTTGTGTTAGTACAGAAAAATTATTTTTACAGGTTTGGTTTTTAAATCCTTTTTTTCCCCACATCCAAGGAGGACAGAGGCRATACACATCCTAAATGATAATTTATGTAAGTGTGGACAGAATTACTTACCAATAGCTATAAAACCTTGTAGCGTAGATGATAGGTGCATGTGTGTCCTGCTGCAAAATGGGAGGAATCTCTATGAGAAGGTGTGTTTGCTTATCGGTGTGTTGTTTCCATGTATACTTCTTCTCACAACTCTGGGAATGTGCTTACATTTAGAGAATTTTTGTGAAACTTGAAGTCCCWATAGGAGGTTTAGGTTCAAGTGGTTAAATGAAAAGGAAATGCTTGTAGTTTATTCGCTGACTTCTTAAAGAGTTTGAAGAGCTGAAAACAAAAGAATTTCTCATTTGTTGAGGCTACTTGTAGCATAATTGTCGAGTTCCTTCAAAATTCTTTATTTGTTTCTTGGGAAACTCAAAAGTTATTCAGATTTTTCAAATGCTGATTTGTATTTATTTGAAGTTGGGTATGCAATTACTGACGGAGCCTTGTCTGCCTACAACTTTTGTCTGAATTTATATGTAAGAACGCATTGGTTTAATGCCAAATTGGTAATGGTAATAACAAGTATGTTATTGCACACAAGTGTCTGTAATATACGTAATACTTTAYAAAAATGTTACTGAGATTGTTTAATGGGATCTAAAAGCCTCATGTTTCCCTTAAAGAGATGTGGAATGTGTTCTCTTTCTTTACTAATGATGCCTCATTTTCAAAGGCTTTTAAGATTATTTTGTTTCCTGAACTACCTCTAGAATAGCATTATTAGTAATTGAGGTTGTTAGGGAAAGGTAATAGAAATGGAAACCACAGAAATGGTGGCTGGAATTTTGATCCTTAAGTAGCTCATGGATTAACTTTAAAATTCCTCTGATTATGTTTAGCTGAAAGAGAAGAAATTTAGACCCTTAAATCCTTCATTGTTATCAACACTTTTGTGGTTCACATTAAAACTGTTAGAGGCTTAAGTGTAAATAAGGTGGTTATTCTCTCCTTGATTTTTTGCATTTCATGGGTTTATCTTTTACCAAGTAATCACCTTTTTGAAGCTGACTTACATGGGTGGAAACATTGCATACTGTTCGCTTTGCTTGACACTTGTGCAGGTGGGAGATGTTGTTGTCCTTTGGAATTACTACCACTCACCTTTCTGTCACCGGAGAGGTTTGTTTTGGCTGCCTGCCTATTGCAGAAAAATCTGCTGGCTCAGTGTGAGGGACAATGTAGTTTCAGATCATCTCATGCAAATTGTGTASGGCATAAATAAAAAGTACTTAAAGAAGCAGTTGTTGAATTCTTGGACAGTGATCTCCCCCAGGGTAATGGTGACTGGCCTCCAGCGATCTTGCCCCTGTCTGATGTAGCTGAATTATAAAGGTAAGCAAACTTWTAGAAAATGGCTTGTCTCAGCTGAGGAACAGATTATTGTGGGAGCGTGTTGTGGTAAACCTAAGAGATTTCTTTAAAATATGTTTAACGTTTTTAGTTTGGTTTCTTGCTCTTACCTTACACTGTTGCTTTTTCTATGCTTCTCTCTGTTTTTTAAATAGAGTGTACTTTGATCAGGAGGAAGTGCTCATATTTCATAAAATCACTCCTCATTTCTGTGTTTCAAAAAATGGGCAAAGTGAGGCCCTAGAGGATGGCATTTTCTCAGCCTTTGGGTAATTTTGTTCCTGTACCTTCTGCAGTTCTTTGTTTTCTCCTCCTTTCTCCCCAA